ATGTAGCTTGAAGGGGAACGGTGTCAGGGTCCGTGTGACTTCCTCGGATGGGGTGGGTCCAAATTTGCGTAGGGCACGCTGGATAGCGAGGGCTTTGATTTGGGTAGATGGGGCGATCGCACCAACCCCGCCGTCTTGGGGTGAGTTGTAAAGGAGACCATTGGGGAGGAAGCGTTGTGCGAGGCCATCCTGTTGATGCTTTGAGAACGAGAGGAAGTTTCCAACTTATATGTTAATTCGTTTGATGGTGTCCAGAGGTGCAGGTTGGAAGCGGCCGGGATAGGAGATGACGGAGTTCAGAAGATCGATGACAGAGATTTGCGGCACGTGACAGTGGCATGTAAGGCCACCAGGAATTTGGTTGTGTTTTGTATGCGGACGAGAGCCTGAGTCCAGGAGGTGGATCCAGGGTGTAGTCGCTCAACATAAATTCCAAGAATGTGTTCTGCTTCGCTGGGGGCTCGGACGGGGATAGGCCCGGCGTGCGCTAGGTCAGTGGGGGGAATATTGGAGGGAATAATGGAGCATTTGTTCCAATTGGGTACCTCCCCAGACACAGACGAAAAGAAGAGGTGCCATAGAACAACCCTATCGGACGCCCGTACGGACGGGGAAGGTGGGGCTGAGCATGTTGTTGACGGAGATTCGTGTGTTCATGTCGGAGTGCATTAGTCATACCCAATGTATGAAGGGTGTTGGAATCCCGAGGACCGTTAAGGCTTGGAGGAGAAAAGGGCGATTGACGAGGTCGTAGGCCTTCCGAAAGTCTACCGTAAGAGCGAGAAGAGGGGTTGATGAGAATGCTGCCCAGTCCATGATGTCGAGGGTATTATTGATTGTGTCTCCAATGTTCCTGTGTTTGATGAAGGCTGTTTGAGATGGGTGGATGAGCTGGGGAAGAACGAGCTGGAGGTGGTTAGCAAGACACAACGCGAGTACTTTGTAATCAGCGTTCATGAAGGTGATGGGGCGGAGATTTTCTACGAGCGAGGAGTCACCCCGTTTGGGGATGAGGACAGTGCGTCCGGTCAGCATGGGCGGGGATAGGCGAGAGAGAGGTTGTAAAGGGGAGAGCAGGGAACGGAAGACTGGTGCAAATCGCGGGGCGAATTGCCGAAAGAGTTCCCCGGGCAGGCCGACTGGGCCGGGGGTTTTTCCTCGGGACAGAGAGAGTAGTGCTTTTCCAATCTCAGCTAAGGAGAAGGGGGCGCCGAGGCGTAGGATTAGGGGGTTCGGGATGGAGGAGGGAGGAATGTGTTGCCAGACGGCAGTGTTTGCGGTGGCGGGGTATTTTCCACAGTAAAGTATCTGGAAGAAGTTAGAGCACAGGTTCGTCATGGTGGGGAGGTCCGACGTTGTCTGACCGTTAGGTAGGGTCAGGGAGCTGATGATCGAGCCCTTGATTCACGAGTTGAGGCCAGAGAGAAGGGAGGAGACTCCCATTTCCCTGAACCCTTCCAATTTAAGCTTGGCCTTGAGCGCAATCTCGAAGGCTTTTGAGGCTTCATACCTGGCTAGGTGGAGTCTTGCTTGGTCAAGGCGGTTAGATTCGGCCTGGGTCAGGGGCGTATACGCAGCGTGCCGCTGAAGTGAGCCGATGGTGTATTCCAGATGTGCGACTGTGCCATCGACGCAACGCCTCTCCTGGTTGGAGAAACGTTTGAGGTTAAGGGTGAGGTCGAGCTTCCATGAGTCCCAGGAGTCTGGGGAAGGGGTGCTTGGGAAGATTGCGAGGCAGGAGTCGATGATTTGAGAGACATGAGGGCGCATAAGTAGATGCCGTCGAAGGCGCCAAGGTCGGGGGGCAACTGTGGGGTTGATGAAGCTGAGCAAGCAGAAAGGGGCGTAGAGGTGGTCCGGAGAGGACAGTGAGATAGCCCTGTTGAAAGAGAGGATAGAGACGCCGCCGATGAGCGTGGGCCTCCCTGTGGCACTCTCGGTAGAGAGTAGTGCTGGGGCGTGAGCAGAGGAGTGAGGTCTAAGTTTTAGGTCAAGGTTGGGGATTTTGTGGATGAGCCGGGTGTCGATGAGGATGACCAGGTCAGCTGGGGCAGGAAGTCTCGCCAGCCAAGACTTGAGCTCATCCATTTTGTGTGTCTCGTTGATTCCGTTTACGTTGATGCAGAGGAAGCGTAGGTGTCTTAACATGGCCATGCTGTGGAGGCCACCGCATGAGAGATCGTGCGTATCCACGGCCTAGGGAGAAAGTCGTGACGAGCAATGCTTGGAGAAGAGGCGAAGCCCGTGAAGTGGAGGTCATGGTGAGGTTCATGCTGTCATGGCGACATTTGGTTGCATGTCAGCGCATGGAAAATGCGGAGTGCCATAGAGTCCGAGGACTGCCAGAGCGGTAATTGTATGGAGTTTGGGGTGTGTATAGTGTATTTGCGAACTAGCTTTATGTGAGCATATCCGTAGCTACCCCACAAGGCGGGCGGGTGGATCAGGGCGGGTGCGGAGTGTGGCAAGGTAGCATACAAATAGACCTTTTGTGCTAGTGTATGGTTCTTATGGTTGGTAAAGGTACCACTCCTTTTCCGACTTTTTGACGCGAATGGGTGACGCGTTGCCACTACTAGGGAGTGTTGACAGTTTGCAATGGGAGAAGAGTGAAGTAATATACTGGTAGCAATGTTTCCAGATACAAGACTTCGAGCTACAAGGAAAAAGCAGGTCGTAACTAGTTGGTGCACAATCACAAGTGAACCCTGCCCGACAAGGCAGCGTGAGAAACACGGACGTGCAATATCGCGGGGTACGCAGACCAGGGGCAGCAAAAGTTGCTAAAGTTACAGGCAAAGGGGGATATTCCTCCGACAGCGGAGAAGCTTCTGAGAAGCCGAAGAAACGAGGCAAGCTGCCAGGATCATGGAGGAAGAGTAGGGGCAGGGAGTAATGCGAGTGAGGATGCGGAGGGCGTAGAAGGTGGAGCAGCAGGGTCTCAGGGCCACCTGAGGGTCCAGAGTAGAACCTGAGAGGCATGAGGGGGGGAGGCGGATCCAGGGGGATAGCGGGGCGGTAGAGCAGCATGTTGAAAGGTGGGAGGGCAAGGATGAGGCGAGCTGTGGGAACCACCAGGGTGGAACGAGCCCGACCTGGAGGGAAAAGGGGGGGCGGCGTCGTGACGACGAAGGGTACGAAACTGGGGGGAGAGGCGGGTTGGAAGCACCGGGAAGAGGGGGGGGGGACGGGTGGTGTGAGCTGAGACCGTGAAGGGTGAAACAAACGCAGCAGGGGTGCTGGAGAGGGAGCCAGGGTGGTCCAAGGAAGGTGGCTGGGGGCCCGACGGGCTTCCCGAAGCACAAGGCCAAACGCCAGCAGTGGCAAGAGAGGGGGGGTGAGCGCAAAGGCGTTGGCCACAGCGATTCACGGGAGCGGGTTGGCAGCCTGATCGGCATTCCGAGTCCGAAAACCATGCACATAGGCATGGGAGTTGAGGTGAGTTGGGGGGCAGCGAAGCGCTACAAAAAGCGACATTGCAGAAAGTCAGGGAAAGCAGGTGACCATGTGGCCTGAAAAGGTAGCGACTTAAAGAGGCTGGAGGGTGAGCGGTGTTACTTACCTAAGGAGGTGAGCGAGAGGGTTTGCACGGACAAGCTTGGGGTTGCCACCGCTGCCAAAATTAGAAGTACGGCGAAGGTGAGACGTCGACACAGTAGCACAAAGAGCGGGGAGGGTGTTGCCCGGGGGCGGGCGGCAGGCTTTCCGTTCCACAGCAGTGGCGCCGACCCGACTCGCGAAGGGGCAACTTGGAGGCGAGGCGCGCAGCCAAGCCTAGTTGTGAACGTCGGCATGCTTGGCGTAAAGGTTGGGAGAGGCGCGAAGGGGGGGGGGAGCATAGATATCCGGAGATGGCAAAGAGTTGGGCAAAAACGTGAGGACGGGGAAGCCAGAGGGGGCGGAGGAGTGAAGAACAGCGCGTGTTTATGCGGACAAGTTCCTGGCGGAGGCGGAGGGTTGTCCGTCGGCGTTGGCGCGAGGACATCAGAGGACTTCCGGCGACCCTGAGCTGCTCCAGGGTGACAGCGAGAGCGAGAGCAGATGAGCGATAGCGCGGGGGAAAAACTGAGAGCATGCGAGCGAGAGCGAGAGCGTGAGGAGCGAAAGGCGAAGCTATTCGGGTTGAGGGGTAGGTTATGAGCGTCGTGCCGTAGGGGATGAAAAAAGAGCGGGTTTGGCCTTGGAGTTACTACGACCTGAGCCCTGCATGTCGGCGTAAGGTTAGCAAAGGAAATCGAGGTGAGCAGCGGAAGCAGACCGAAGAGGAGGACCAACTTACCTGGCGCCGAATCGATGTCGAGTGACGGGAACCAGCCTGATCGGCGACGGTTTGATAGTCGAACGGTGGAATAGGCAGGTAAGCTGGGGCTGCGATTATCCGCGGTAGGTAGAAACCTAGGTGATAGCCTAGGTGGCGACATAGTCGGGGTAGGTGGCGGAGAGGTCGTGCATCCGGAGAAGGGGTGGAGGGGGGAGAGGGGGAGAGGGGAGGAAGGAGGCTGGAGGGTGTGTGTGCTAGTTTTGTCCCCACCCCTCCCCCACCAATGTTTTTGCTCAGCTAGTAGAAGTGAAACCAGTGAACAACCTGCTCCTTTCGTGCCTTCCCCTCCATCCTCTCTAGTGCCTTGTATTTTTTGCCCTGAATCATCCATATGAATTTCTGCTGGTGCCCTGAAATTTCAGGATGGCCAGAAAATTTTGCCCTGAAAAATCAGGGCATTTCAGAGATTTTTTCATAAGTTACCCTGAGGGCTCAGGGTGCCCTAAATCCTAGCACAGGCCCTACAGTAGTTCCCTTTTAGACATGAGATTTGTACATATGAATGAGAACCAGTCAGAACAGCTGCCTATGATAGCCACCCTCTTGTTTACATGGCCAATGCAGGCCCACTGTAGTATAGTACTCTAGAATACACTACATGTCAGTATGTGCTGTACACTGTACTTCTATTGGAGTTACATTCGAAAACTCCAGCAAGTAATTTCGGTAGGATTGTACACTAATGTGCTGCTTCAAACCTAGTAGCAAGCTCAGGGGGAGGCTCATAGTGGATTCTGTTGAGCGATGAGCGCATGTCCATAGAGTACACTCGCTTTACCCTCATGTATGTCTCCTGTAATGACCAGAGGTAACACGCAGTTTGGGAAACACACGCAGGTTGAGTTGTTTGAGACGATTGGTAGGTGTTTTATATACATGTGATGAGTGCATGTTAGGACGCAAAAGAATGTGATCGCTTCACCCTCTTAATACCGTATGTGTCCTGCAATGACCAGATGAAACACACAGTTTGGGGAACACACAGACAATTGGCAGGAACTGATGCATGTGATGTATGTGATGTATGTGATGTATGTGAGGTATGTGATGTATGTGATGTATGTGATGTATGTGATGAGTGCATGTCACAATGACTGAGATGGGTATGCTCGCTGCACCCTCATGTATGTCTCCTGCAATCACCACAGGAACCACAGGAAACACACAGTGTAAAATTCCAAGCGCGTTTGCTCAATGAACATGAACTCAGGACAGGGCACCCTCATGTATGTATGTCTCCTGCAATCACCACAGGAACAATGAGCATGAACTCATGACAAGAGTTCATGTGATGAGTGCAAGTAAGAAGAGTACACTCGCTCCACCCTCACCGCCCTCTCCTCTCCACCCAAACATGCCCCTGCAAATAGAAATCCTGTGAATGGAACATTTCCAGCACTCACCTTGACTTGGAACATTTCCAGCACTCACCAGAGCATTCCCTGTAGTTGACTCGGAACATGTCCAGCAGCCGGTGGGACGAATTGGTGAGGTGCACGCACACTCTTCCCAGAGGCAAAGCCGTCCTTCCTAGCCGCATCCCCTCCACCCATTATACAAGCACCTCCGAACGCTGTTCTCCTCTCACGCACTCGCGCACGCGCGCACCTTGTCTCGGAACATCTCTGACAGCCGGTGCGACGAGTTGGTGAAGTGAACACTCTTCCCAAAGGCAAACGCGTCCCCGGGTTGCCTCCCCAGCAGCGCCATCAGCGCCGGCATATCCCTCTCCATGCGCTCAAAGCGGCCTACAAAGTGGTACTTGATATGGTTCAACCCGCAGAGCAGCGACTGGAAGGGTGAGGAGGGGATAGGGGGTGTGGGGGGGTATGGGAGCAGGGATGGGGGAACAGACATGGGGTTTGAGGGAAAGCAGTTTCCCTTGAGGATATTTCTGTGAGATAGACTCCTTGAGGTGGAGATTCTTAGGTTAGACTCGAAATAAGGTGCACCTGAGTACGTTCCTGGAAAAATACTTGAGGAACCACCTGAGGAGGCAATATAAGAGCTCATCTGCGAGCCCACCTGTTGCCGCCCACCCACCTGGAGCCATTCTCCCTCCCACCCACTTGTGGTGCTATGTGATTGTGCGGAGATAACTACTTCAACGGGAGCTAGACACGGGTGCTTGTGTGATCTCTGCGTTCGTTGGCCCTTAGTCGTTTTCCTAGTGCACACACAGCTTGTTAGTTCACGGGGAGAATTAGCAAGGGTTTCACAAGAGAAAGTTGACAACAATGGAATTGGCATGGCAAGACTACATCAGAGCTAGCATTCAGGTCGCTCGACTGCCAGCACAGCATGGTCGACCATGTTCCAGCACGACTTGGTCGACCACGCTCCAGCAGTGCAAAGTCGACAGCGTGCCAACGCTGCAGGTTGACGGCGTGCCAGCGTTGCTCCCGTAGAACAGCAGCGCACCTACTTCGCAGGTGCTCGTTGATGATTGGAGGGCTAAGCCTCGTCACCTGAACAACGCACGCACCAAGTCATCTTCGTGCTGACGGCTCCACCTGTTCCGCCACGTCAACCTCGGGATACTACCACCGAGGTCGGACTCGCCAACTTCGCCTGGACGACCGTCGCACTCCTTCACAAAACCTTGTCACCCAGGTATCCTGGTCGGCCGGGCAACCATGTCGACCAGCTGCTCCTGTATATGCTCGTCGACCTCCCAAGTCGACGACCACACCAAGTCGACCTGACCGGGTCGACCACTCCTCTGGTCGACCAGCTCCAGGTCGACGTCACTCCTGGTCGACCAGCTCCACGTCGATCAATGCAGTTGTCAACCGACCACCCAAGTCGCCTACCTAAAGTCGGCCTCACCAAGTCGACGCCCCTTCTACGTCGGCGCCGACTTCCAGATTGACCTCTTGAAGTCGGCGACCTCCCAAGTCGGCGACCTTGCAAGTCGGTGACCTTGCAAGTCGATGACCTAGCAAGTCAGAGACCTGGCAAGTCGGTGACCTAGCAAGTCGGTGACCTGGCAAGTCGGTGACTTGGCAAGTCGGTGCCGACTTCTAGGTCGACGTGCCACATCGCCGACCACCAGTTGAAGTCGGCCGCCGGCTTCCCAAGTCGGCGGCATTGCAGTGGCCCCGTGCAAGTCGACCAACCCCGTCGACCAGCTCGCCCAAGTCGGCGTCGCCCACTGCTGCAAGTCGGTTGTACCTTCCGTACATCCCACCACGAAGTCGGCTCCGCCCAAGCGTGGACGGGGCCAACACACAACTCCCGTTGACAGATTGTCCATCAACTGCTCTCCATCCGCCTCTCGTGCTGCTTCGACTAGAGCAACAAACTCTTCAAATGACATCGTGCCTCCTGCTTGCGTCCTCTATCCCACCTCTATCTTTCCTCCCACCTGCGTCCTCCCAATTACCTGCGGCGCTATATGGTTGTCCATCAAATGCTCTCCATCTGCCTCCCTTGCTGCCTCGACCAGAGCCATGAACTCCTCAAATGACAGTTTGCCCCCTGCTTGCAGCCGCAGCATGGTGTGGAGAGAGAGTGCTGGTGTGGAGGGATGGGAGGGGGAGGAGGAGGAGGAAGAGGAGGCGGAGGAAGAGGAGGCAGAGGAAGAGGAGGAGAAAGGCGAGAGGGAGGCGAGGTGTGTAGAGAGCAGGTCCCTCCAGCCTAAGGGGCGGTGGGTGGTGTTGCTGGTCCAGAAGAGATGCTGAAAGAAAACCTGATGGGTGGGGGATAGAGGGATGGAGGAGAGAGGGGTAGGTGGAGTGCAAGGGGAGGATGCAAGTGACGTAGATGAGGAGTAGAATGATTAACTAATCACTCACTTACTCACTCAGTTACTCACTTACTCACACACTAACTCACCAGGGACCAGACCCGTCTCTTCCCCCACCCCCCACTCTCCGCCCGCACGTGCTTGTTCACATACGCAGGCAGCACGCACGAGAATGGCTTGAGGTTACTTTCCAGGCGACTCAAAACTCACCAGGGACCAGAACCGCCTCTTGCCCCACCCCCCACTCTCTGCCTGCACGTGCTTGTTGACAAAAGCAGACACCACCCGCGAGAACGGATCCCGCACAAACACAAACCGAACCAGGTCGCGCCGCGTCACCGCCCGTATCGCCTCAGGCTCGGTCATGCCGAACCAGAGCACCGGGAGGTGGGAGCGTGCAGGGAGGTGCGTGGTTCGGGCGTTGTGTGCGTCTGAGTCGTTGCGTTGCTGCCGGAACCAAATCTTCCAGCTGGTGCAAGCGGCTTTTGGGACAGCACAGTAGAGAAGACCGAGGGACTCTGGAAGGAAGGGTGGTGGGGAAAGAGCGGAGAGATGGGGGGGGAGGGGGGGGGATTGGGAAATGTTTTGGGCATGTGAGTAGTTGTGTTGCTGCCAGAACCAGATCTTCCAGCTGGTGTAGGCAGCCTTCGGTATGGCGCAGTAAGGGGGGTTAAGCGTTGGGGAGGAGAAGGAACAGTGGTGCGTCTGTGTCATTATAGCATTGCTGCCGGAACCAGATCTTCCAGCTGGTGCAAGCGGCAATAGATCTGACCGAGAGACTCTGGAAGGAGGAGGGGCGGAAGGGTTGGGGGGGGAGTGGTGGGGGAGAAAGAATGTACTGGGTATGTGAGTGAGCCGTTGTGATGCCGCCCGGTGCACTGCTCATTGTGAACAATTGAGGGAACGAGATGCGCTGCTTGGTTGCGTTGCTTACCGTCCACGATGAGCTGTTTGCCGATCCGGTGCTCAGTTATCGGCTTCATAGCAGGCGACTCACACAACGCTCTTTCCTCCTCAAACACCGCCCCCCCTCCTCCCACGCTCTCACTCTCTCTCGCTCCCATCCCCACACTCTCTCTCTCCTCCTCCTCCCCCATATTCTGTGTCACTTTTTCCACACGACTCTCACTCTCACTCGCACCCTGCGCTTCTCTCACTCTCATGGGCTTACTCTCAGCAGGAGCACCACTCTCCCTCACCACCACCTCCGCCCCTCTTCCCAAAGCTTGTGCTCGTATCAGGTCAGCTTGTGGCGAGGACACCACGTGAATGAGCCCCTGTGCTGCAGGGAGCGTGAAGAGCTCTGTGGCTTGCAGCTGGGAGCAAAGAATCGACTGCTCCCTCGGCCGCCTTGCCCCTGAATCTGCTGCTCCCCTTCTTGCTGCTGATCCCCTTGGTTTGCTCCCTTTTGATGGTTCTGCCCCCCTTGGCGCTTCTGCTGTTCTTGATACTGTTGCTCCCCTTCGCACCTCCCTTTCACCCCCCATCCTTCTCCCTAAATCTCTCCCCCACCATCCCCTTTCATCCCGCTCCTTCACACTCAACGCAGCACAGACAAGGGGAGGAGGAGGTGACTCTCCCCACACCGGATTAGGCCTACATAGTAAGGACCGTCTTAAAGTGGAGATTAATAGGTTCGGCTGGCGGTTCGGGTGGAAGGATCGGGCGACTGCTATGGCTTGGGACGGCCAGTAGCCCGCTACTGTAGCATCTTTTTCGGGCTGCCCGAGGAAAAACCACATGAGGCGTCGGGCAGTGCAGTTGACAATGAGAGAAGGGGGGCAGGAGGGGCAGGAGAGAGATGGAGAGGAGGAGGAGGGGGAGGAGGAGGAGGAGGAGGAGGAGGAGGAGGAGGAGGAGGAGGAGGAGGAGGAGGAGGAGGAGGAGGAGGAGGAGGAGGAGGAGGAGGAGGAGGAGGAGGAGGAAGAGGAGGAGGAGGAGGAGGAGGAGGAGGAGGAGGAGGAGGAGGAGGAGGAGGAGGAGGAGGAGGAGGAGGAGGAGGAGGAGGAGGAGGAGGAGGAGGAGGAGGAGGAGGAAAAAATAGGCTCCATATACACACCCATACTTTGCTTGACACGTGTCATGTTCTCTTTGGCCATGAGCTTCTTTACTGCCACGGATGGCTGTAGGAGGCAGTAGCAGCGCTGCTGTGACGTGTGCAGCTGTGATTGGTCGGAGAGGGAGAGAGATTGGTTAGAGGAGGAGAGGAGGGGATGCTGGGGAGGTGTAAGGGGAGTGAGAGAGGAGGAGACGAATGCATGCACATGGATAGCGCGAGCATGGAGGGAGTAGGAGGATGCAGGACCTGTGGTAGCTGGTTTCGGTTGGAGAATCTGCCAGGAAAATTCCTGCAGACGCAAATGCAAGCATGTATGAACATACTTGGCGACAGGTACAGGTTCATCTGGAAAACAAGGACAAGCTGTACTGTTTGATCTAGCATGTGCCACGTTCTTTAGTCGCTTGGAATATTCAAAACAGAAACGAATCGAGCATGGTGAAGTTGCACTGTGTGATGAGTGGAAAAATACAAGAGGACAACAAATGTGGGTGGCAGCAGGTGAGTAAGCATGGGGAGAAAGGAGATGCACCATTGGAACAAAGGATTTCGAGTTGAGCCATCGAGGTCGATGGTGCAGTACAATGGGTGTCATTGTCTCTTCCTGCTCGCCTCCTTTACGCCCTCCCTCCCTCTTCCGCACTGCCTTTTCACCCCGTTCCCCGCGGCTCCCTTCTCCGTCTCCTCTTGCACGGACTGACTGACCCCGTTCCCACTCATGGCTCGTATCTTGTAGCGTTTTCCTCGCTCCTTCAAGGGCATATACATGCCCTTTTAGCACATCTCTTCTATCACTCAGTGGAGCTCGAGCAGACGGCAATGATCCAAGAATGTCGTGTAAATGAGTAAAAGGCATATCATCATCAGATAGCCATAAGAATGCCAGATGAAGCTGATTTGCGATGGATGGAGAGGATAGATCGGCTGTTGCTGGAGTGCGTCGCATCTGTATGGTAGTAAGAAGGTCACGCAAGGCATAGCCTGCGCAGATGGATTCGAGACGCCCATGAAGCGGGCCCTGCATGAAAGCGTGAAGCAGGAAGAAAAAGGTGGTTAAACAGAAATGGTCTTGGACTGGAGCCATAGAAAAGGCTATGCACTTCCGTGCCAATGGGTACCCTGTCCAGTCCAGTCCAGTCTTGTTCCGCACTACAAGTGGGTCCAGTCCAAGTGTTACACGCCAAGAGCAAACCTACTTGTAATGCGGAACCTCCTCCCTCCATCTTGTTGCAAGTCGTGACGCACCTTAGCCGAGATAACCACGTCGGGTCGCCGCCGCGCACGCTTCCCAACGCTCGATTCAAATGCGAATGTGCTGCTGCCGTCACCATTCTTGGGGCCGGAAAAGGCCTTCGAATGATTCCTCGAGATCTTGCCCAAGAGTAACTGCTCATCAGAAGAAACCACTGAATGAGTAGTAGTAGTACCGATGCTTGACGAAACAGATTCTGCGGCTCCCTCGAACAACACAGTAGGAGCGAGGAGCGAGCGTCCTTGTGCGATCCACGAGACAAATGCGCTCCTGCCGTCTCCCGCGACTGTAACGAGGGTTGTCAAAGCGAGAATCACAATCAGCCGCGCGATCAGCCAGAATGTCGAACGACGGCTCTTCTTGCCGCAGTTAATCGTCGTGGCCTTTTCCATGGCTCCTTTTTCCCCTCGCCTTGAAGTCTCCATCACAGAGATCATAGAGCCGTCACGACGCGCGTTCGCCTACATTCACAACTCCGCGTCGCGTCGCACGTGCGTTTACACTCGTGACGGTTAAGAGAGTTCGGGAGCATTCAAGCTGCGAAGAGGACGCTTCACTCGCGCCTCACTGGAAAAGCAGCAGGGGTCTGGAAAAGAGTTTTAGTACTGGGCGAGTTTCCGCACGAGAGCTGGAAGCGCGTGGCTTAAGCTTTTACGAATGTGCAATTTTCCGCCAAGCGAGATGATTCAGTGCGACGGACACCGTCTATCCGCAACTTCCGCTCTGATAAGCAGATTGTGAATCAATCTTGGCGTTTGGATAAGCGCGTTTGCGCAGAATCACGCTTGAGCTGGTCAGACGCAATCAGCAGGAGAGCGCGGTGCCCGCGAGAGGCCAAGACAGTGCGATGTCGATGTTGATGTGGATGTCGCCTTGCACTCGTCGTTCTGCTTCCACTCGTTTCTCCCGCTCGTTTGCTCGCATGGCGAAGGCCATGGAATGGGATTCGAGGTGCGACGGGTCAAGGTCGGCAAGAGTATGTCAACTCGACACGTTCTTGTCACAGCCATATTTACGAGAGAATTGCTCGAGTGCCTTGTTTGACGATTCGCTCTTGCCCACGTGTCCCCGAATTGCTCGCGTGGCCATCGAATTCAATGATAATTTCTCGAGTGGCCACGCCTGGGGATTTTCGAGGTGTTTGTTTTCCCCGGCACATTACCCTACAAGGAATTTAGTCCTGAAATTCATCTCACGTACTCGTCTCATCCCGCGCAAGCGTTGCGTACTATTCCCCACTCGAATAATTCCCCAAAGTGGGCAGACACGAACGTGGCCCACTCACTGTAAACGTAAACGACAAATAATCACGACCAGCAGTACATGAGCGCTCAATTTCAGCCCAATGCGCGACCAATGAGCGCTCGGTCAAACGAATTCGTAACCAATAAGCGCTCGAGCATATATATCCGCGATCATTTAGGTAATTGCGCGGTTTCATTTATCCGAAATTTATGATCGGAACTATATATGACCGTATATGACTGGACGCGCAGGGTCTAAATACGCCCCGCGCATAAAACGGACTAATCACGTAATGTCTAAATATGATTGGTCCGTTTTATGCACGGGGCATATTAGACATTGCGAAAATTTCGAGTGGGGAATAGTACCCAACGCTTGCGTGGGAGGGGACTTTCGGGGCTAAATTTCTTGTAGGGTAATATGTGCGGGAAACAAAACACCTCGAAAATCCCCTGGCGTAGCCACTCGAGAAATTATCACTGAATTTGATGGCCACGTGAGCAATTCGGAAACACGTAAGCAAGAACGAATCACCAAACAAGGCACTGAAGCAATTCTCTCCATATTGACAGCAATCGGAGTAGCGAAACGCGCCGTTGCCTTTCTTGCGGGTCGCCTTCTATTCCAAGATGCTCGAAGGAAAGTTGGGTGAATGGCGGCCACAGGATTGTTGAGCCATGCAGTCGCAGTCGCAGACATACTGGCCGATTTGACTGCAGATTGACGGATACCGTTAACGACACATCTGACTTAAGCTGTCGCAAGCCAGCAGCACCGACAGACCGGCGGAACGGAACAGAAGGTCGTCTGAATGACGACGAAATGGAGGTGGAACCGTGAAAAGAGCCAGCCACCATCGCCTCCCATCCCACCCAGTTACATCCGAGTTACACGCTGTGACGTCATCAAATATGCCGCAGCTGCTGAAATTCCAGCAACTCGGGCGGGACAGATCGGTACGTTACGGTAACATCTTGTTCGTGCGCCGTCCAGCCATGTCGCGCATGCACGCCACCAGCACTGGCTGACGTGTACCTCACATGCTTGGGCTCCGTACTTCACAAGAACTGACTCATGAAACTCTACCAAAACGCTATTTCAAATGAAAAGTTTCCAACTTTAAATGTCTAAATAATTTCATCCCCATCACAGAAGAAACTGCAAATATAATCAGAACCGATCCATTCAAGCAGCTGCACAATTTGGCATTCGATACACTGCATGAAAGGGCTGTATGCAGATCTCAAGTGCTTCAACTTCAGACATCACAGTTGGAAACAGCAAGCAACACAGCAACTACACATTAACAAGGTCAGCTGCTGCTCCTGCTGCCTCCCCTACCCACACACTCTGCTCTTTCCTCTCGAACCTCCTGCTGCCCATGGCACTGCTACTGACAGCAGCCGACACCGAAGCAACTGCAGCAGCATCACCCTACAACCGCCATCACCGCAGCTACCCACAACCACCACCACCCACACCCAAACAACCACCACGAGCGCGCTCCTCGCGTCCCACTCCAACACCTTACTTCTTCTCCTCCTTCTCCTTGTCCGCAGCGCGCTTCTTGCGGATGCCTTCGAGCCGAGCCTTGGTTCTCTCCTGGCGGAGAGTCTCGTAGGCCTTGACTGAGCGAAGCTCCTCTGTAACGGCCTCAAGAGGCACGTCCTTGGCGGGCCTGACGATGGGCAGGACGGCGCCCACGTGCTGCACGGCGGCTGCCAGCTCCTCCGCCGAGGCGTCGCCAGCCTGCAGCGGGGGAGGCGGAGGGGGAGGCGGAAAGGGAGGCGGAGAGGGGTTACAGAAGAAACGGAAAGGGAAGGGGGGGGAGATCATGGAATGGGGGGAGGGCGGAAAGGGAGTACAGGGCGAGTAAGGAGACCCAGGAGGGTTGTGCATAGACAGGTGTCACGAAGGGGAGCACGTGGGTGTAAAAGGACGAGAGAGCAAGGCAGGGGCAAAACACGCCAGGCCAGCAAGGCGAAAAAGGGAACGGCCGTGGGTCGCACCGATTACCCAAATGCCAAACCCTCTGATTAAAAGAAAAACATAATGCCGATGAGACCTTCTCACATCCGACGGTCACGCCTGATGCACACACCCGCGCACACCATACCGTTCCTGCCTTCATCCTGCAATTCAAATCCGTCTCAAGCTCAACTACTCTTACACTCCTTTTCACAACCTAAAACCTATCTCCAACCATGCCTACCCTCCTGTCAACCTTCCCCCGATCCCCTCTCCTCCCCTCTTCTATCCCTTGTCTCTCCCCTCCCCCCGCTTCTCCCCTCTCCTCCCCCATCCCTTTAATCCACGTGTTCTCACCTTGGGCTTCTTGGAGCGGCGCGGGAACACGACGAGCTTGGCCTTGTACGCCTTGAGACGCGCGGCGTTCGCCTGCAGGCTCTCCAGGCTGCGGTTGCGGCGGCGCGAGTCCACGGAGATACCGATGGTGCGCGCAACCCTAATGGGGATGCCCGCCTCCTGCGCGCGCGCGCAAGGGGGTGGGCGGGAGGTGGTGGCGGGAGAAGACGGGTGTTACAGACGCGGGTGAGAAGTTCGACGAGTGAAACCGATGTAAACACGGGAAGGAGAGGATGGCAGGGAATACGACCGATGGCCCAAAGTGGCGCAAGTGGCGGGTAGGGCAGCGAAACCATACGGAAACGCAAGCTACCCGAGTCAGTAACCCCCCCAGAGTTGGTTACCAACAAAACCTCAGTGCAAGTCTCTAGGGCGTACTCCTTGCTGCAAGAAGAGTGCCTCGACGCAACACTCGCACCGCTGTGCGAAGCTAGAGCTCCCAACAAACACTAGGGTTACAACGACTCGCTACGAGTAAGGCTCTCTCGCGATCCACCTATCTCATAGCAGCCTAGCAGACAGTCTGGATACAGCATCATGTGATTCGCACGCTTGCCTAGCCTAAGCAAGCCGTTGCAAGAGACGCAAGCAACCGCGCAGACCATGCATACCCGGTACCCAATCAACAAAACGGGGACACGTTCCGTCCTTTTCGAGTCCGCTGTACTCACTACTGCGTTACAGAGGACTTTGCGAGCGAGGCGGGGAGAAAGACGCGGGTGAAGAATACAGTAGAGCAGCCACAGAAAGACGCCGGGGAGTCAAAAGAAGCAGGGACGCACCCTGAGCTCGGCGGGGGTGAAGCCGCGGCCCTCGCGGATCTTGGAGTTGTAGCGGATGCTAGGCGCGTGCACCTCCGGCCGCAGGGGGCCCGCTGTAGGGCGCGGGAAGATGCTCACGGCCTTCTTCTGCCTCGCTGCTCGCCGAACCGGGGGGCAGCGGAAGGGGGAGAGCGGAAGGGGAGAAGGGGAGGAGGGCGGGAGGGAGGAAAACACGAAGGTTGTAGAGTGGTGGGGGCCAGGAATAGCTTAGCCTTATTCTGCCTCGCTTCTATCAATGGACAGGAAAGAAGGCCAGGGAGGGCGCACAAGGATTACGACCCAATATTTTTGGTTCAGGTCATGAAGGGTGAGTGCACTATGAAGGGGCGGGAAGACGATGTTCATCGGCTCTTTTACACCGACGCTCGGACAGACGGAGAAACGGAACGGGAAGAAGCGGGGGGGCGGGAACGGGGAGAGAAGAAGAAAAAACAGAACTAGAATACGAGAGTGCGAAGGGTGTGAATTGACGTGAACACCAATTGCGCACGCACGCACCGATCCGTCTGCGCTTCTTGCGGGCGGGTTGGTTGAACCATGTCTTCACGTACGACTGCCAATCCTTGTGGAAGTGCGCATTCGGCACCTGGTTGTTGTGTCGCACCATGGCGGCGTCACGCTATCTGCCGCTTCTAACAAATCTGCTCGCGGCTTTGGAGAAAAAACTTCCTCCCCTGTGGGTTGGAGAAGAGAATGAAATGAAGGGAGGGATTCATGAAAAAAAACGGGGAGAAATCAGGGAGGTGCGATGCCGTAAGTGCGTGACGTAGCCGAACCACTACCATTATGCTGCAGTCCTCCCGACGCGAGAGTCAGAATAAAGCGCATGAATTTCGAGCCGATCCTAGATAGCTGGTGGTATTGAAGCAAGAATCGACCATGTGCTCATCTGCAAGTCTACGACGCGCTATGTAGAAACACCTTCTCAGTTGAGCATTCCTCGATCTACCCTGCAAAACCTCGCGACCCGACCTACAGCCCCGACGATACAACAACGAACGACCAACGACTATCAAACCCAAAATGCCCCCCAAAATGCAAAGCTTCTAATCCCGTGAGTCAAGGCTTCCTCGCAGTATTGGTACTAAACCTAAGAAACATAGTCTCGCGCTAGGGCATGGCTTGGAAACGCACCAGGGAGGGCGAACGGAGAGGGGGGGAGAAGGGTTTGCTGGGAAAGGAGCAAGGAACAAGGCGAAGAGGCGTTTATGCAGCAGCAAGGTCACAGGGAAAGGCTGTGGCTACGGCTGAGGCTGAGGCTGAGGCTGGGAGACCTGAAGTTTGTCGCACAGAAGCACGGATGGCGGGGATGAGATGGGAGGGGATAGGAGGGGAGGCGGGGAAAAGGGAGGGGAGGGGGAAGAGGGAAGGGGAAGCTGAGGGAGAGGAAGGGGAAGCATGATGGAAAAAAGGGGAAGATACGCGGCGGAGAGGGGTTGAGAAGGAAGGGAGAGGAATTTGGGGAGGCATCTGGGGGATTTGCGGGATGAGGTGCCAGAAAAAACACGAGCAGGGGGAGAGGGCTCATCGACGGGGAAAGAGGGGAAGGAGCAAACAACGATTGGCGACCGATGAAACGAAATCTCAAGGTGGTAACTCGCGCTCCAACCATCATTAGAAGGCGTGGATTACCACCAGATTCTTTTGCGCACCTGACGAAGTCTACATGGGGGTGTGGTACTACATGGCATAAATAAATGAAATCCAGCGCTTCTCTGTTTTTGCTCATCACAAAAACAAATATGAGAAACAGGAATGCTATAAAAAAAATATCAAACAATTATTCCAATCTAGAAGACCATCGTTGGACAGTGTTTTCCCGTGGCAAGGCTCTGACACAGGTTTGTATAAGGAGGGATGTTGGGGATATTATTATTCTCGTGCTCTTGCAGCTGACGATGCCTGATAAAGAGCCAACTAGCTCTTGAATCATGCAGCGCCTCACAGCCGCAGCCAACTTAGGGCATGTTCCTACGGCCCCTTATCAGGCCAACCTCTTATCAAGCTCGCGTCAAAACACACTGAAAATTTCATAAACCTAAAATCCCTCGCTACTTTATCCAGGCAAGGCTGACAAGAGGTTTGCCTGATAAGAGCGTAGGAACATGCCCTTACTACTCATATTATTACTACTACTACCATTATTATTATTATTATTATTATTATTATTATTATTATTATTATTATTACTATTGGTCTTATTATCACCATCATCATCATTATTATCCTAGCTGCTTCAGTTAAACTGCACCTAGGGATAACCCTAGGGCGGCATGCATGCCTGTGCAATGTCACATGGTCTTTTATTGTTTTGGTTTTTTTTTTTACCAGATTGAATTGTTACACTCGCTATTAGATACATTGACAGTGGGGAGGACAACAATATGCAGATACCGCCAGAGAGTGAACTGCAACATATGTGTTGCCCTCCAACGCAGTTACTTATTCCCAAACCACCCAAACAGAGCTCCAATGTGGCTTGTTGCTGTTGCTGTCAAGTATGCAGCAAGAAGGCCTTATTGGGGAGACTCTCGCAGCCCTGTGGTTGTATTTCAAGTGCTCCAAGTAATGGGGTGGAGGAGAGACTGACATGGTGGTATGAGAGGGCCGGAGGGGTCCCCTGGGGCGTGGGTCAAAACAAAAGCCCCCCTCCAACCCACCCCACATACTGTGGTAGGAAGAAGTGGCCTTGCTGTTGCTTCCCCTCTGATTGCAACTGCTCCTGTGGCTGCTGCTGCTTCTGCTTCTGCTGGTTCTGGCTCGCACAAGACTGTGGTAACACAGTAACGGGTTCTGCATCAGCTGTGAAAGCTTCATGCTTTCTCAAATCTGCTGTACCCTCTGTGCCATCTGTGGATGGAGGATGCTTTGCTGGAGAGCCTGGGGTAAACATGGGGTTACTATGAGTGGTGTGACTATACTGAGATTCAGACTCCGAGAGGGAGGCTAACAACGGGAGGCTGCTCCAGCTCCCGAGAAGGGAGATGGCGTCCTGTACAAGAGAAGAGGGAGAGGCGAAGAGATCTGACGAGTAACTGGTGGTTGGCGAGGTAGGCATAGAATGGCTGAGCAGATGAGGAAGATAATAATCGCTGTACAAAATGGCTTCATCATAGTGTCCTTCGGTAAAGGCACCATCCACGCCGTTGCTCTCCCAGCTGCTGACAGCGGTCGAAGTTGGAATAAGTGTTGCACTGTAGAAGGTTGCTTCCGTAGTGGGACAAAACCACGGGTGGCGAAGGATTTGCGCTGCTGTGGGCCGTCGATCCTCCTCTTTCGCCAACATCCAACAAATCAAATCTTTCGCTACCAGCGAGACCTCCTTCCAAGCTGAACCGCTCTCTTCGTCAAAAGCAAAGCTGCCTTCGCGAATAGCTTCGCCGATTTCGTCGTCGTCTTCGCCACCGAAAGGAACGCAACCGGAGAGCAACACGAAGAGCACCACTCCCAAGCTCCACACGTCAGCGGGAAACGAATAGCGCCCGGAGAATACCTCTGGAGCAAGGTAATATGCGCTTCCCGCGACTTCTTTAGCGCCGCGACGGTCTGCTGCTTCGATAACTGATAATCCAAAGTCCGTGAGCTTGACCAGCGACGAGTCGCTCGAACGTGGGTTACATGACTCCTGTCCCTTCGCCTTGCGTTCTGTGCTGTCGCCGTTGTTTCCGCCAAGAACCGTGTCTTCTATCACAGTGCCCTGAATGAGTTCGATCAAGGAAGAGTTGTCGGGCACTGGCCTCAATAGAAGCACGTTCTCTGGCTTCAAATCCCGATGCAGTACTCCCCGCGCATGGCACTCCGCCACTGCCCGCACAATCTCCGCGAACATCGCGCGCGCACAAGCTTCCGCCAAGTGGTCCGCCAACTCTACGAGGCGTAGCAGATCCCCACCCGCGCACAAGTCCATCACTAGATGCACTGCGCGAGAATCTTCCCAAGCTCCAGCCAGCGAGACGACGCCGGGACATCCGGCCAGCCGTCGCAGGATCGCAACCTCCCGTCGCACGGCCTCGCGACTGTCGTGCGTGGCGAGCGACGATTTTGCAATTGACTTGCATGCGAAGCTCTGGCCAGTGGCGCGCTCGCGACATTCCCGCACGACCCCATACTGTCCGCGACCTATCTCATCCCCGACGTCGTAATGATCGCATAAATTTCCCGAGTTCAGAAGCGCTTTGCTAAGGACGGCAATCGATGGTCCCATAAAAATGGCCTCTGGATGAAGAAACGTCGAGACGAGGGAAATGGGTTACGAGAACGGCCAACTCGGCCCTTCAACTCATGGAGGAAAATAGTCAAGGAAAAAGTAAGTCCACGTTCATTGCGGAACCTGCTGGATGGGGCTGGGATAACAAGCTCGCGCGTAAAGGCGTCGTGATCCGCAAGAAACGGCTTCAGAATTGGGTGGTGGAGATGGAAAATGGAGCTAGGCTGTCATGTGTCTCCACATGCGAATTTTCTGATCGACTAGAAAAGCGATAGGATCTGCCAGGCTCAGAGGTCGCTTGCTTGCATCAAAACATTTGTCCTGCGAGTTCGAAGAGAAAGGGGCAGCGGGACGAAACGAAACAAAACGGAAATGAACGACCAGCGCCAGCCGCGCAGCACCCTCCGCGCCTTCCCTCATGAAGCCAAAAGTGAGCCCCCAAACCTTCCCCATATCCGATCCACCCTTCTTTTCCCCCTTCTCCCTACATGCAGGTGTATTCTCCCCTGCATCGGTTCCCCAGCATCCGTCATTCCGCCTCCCTTTGGGGGGAGGAGGGAACGGGGAAGGGGACGGAAAAGAGTGGTGTGGCAGATCAATGCATTTCTCGTGTCAGTTTCTCTTTGGTTGGTTGCGTCTCCTTTCGACGTTTGGAACCCCAGGTGTTCCAGGATTCCCTCCCCACCAACGACCACCTCCGTTTTGCCGCTCCACCGACGGAAAAACGTTTTTCCTTCTCCCTGATCTGCGGGTTGTACAGCTCAATCGCATTCCAGTTATTTGCCCGAGGTGAAAAAATTGCGCGTGTACAGTGCAGTTCAGAGCCGGCGGAGGGACCGCCGCAATGTCTGGCATTCCTCCTGAGAGCCCCCCTGACCTGACAAGCCGCTGTGGTAATCAGACTTCAGAAGGGGGAAGGGAACTGCCCCCACGCATCAACGCAAGTCGCTTCACTTCGGGCAGCGGTGTCGTGTCGCCCTTTTCCTCCCGCCCGCTCTTCACCGTCCTTCCAGATCACCACCACACCGACCACACACACTACCCAGTGGGGGTGGGAGGAAGTGACAGGCGAACTGAGGTCAAGGATGGGTACTGGAGGGACGGCAGAACCCGCGACTAGGGAATGCAGCTACACCCTGTTTCGCGCTAGCAGAGCATCTGGTTGCAGAACATGCACTGGTTGTAGAACGTCACCACGTTTGAAATGGTCTTATCACCGACGGTACAAGCACATTCACAAGAAAGCGGTTAGCTAGGATGCTGCATGGTAAAGAACATTAACCAAGCGTTTCAAAGCGGTTGAAAAGGGTATACAGCGATAAAGAAAAATTTTGCCCCCAGTACCACTCCGTCAGCTGGTGCGGCTTTGCCCGCAGGTTTCAGCCATACGGTTTATGGCACCTGACCGCACTGTAGCAGCGAATCGCGCAAGGTGAGAGGGTCGAGAAACAGGGTGTACTGTACTGTTAGAATGGGTCAGGAGTCAAGAGGGAGAAGTGTGGTGTGGAGTGTACAATTGATGCCTGTTTGAGCCCCTCCCGGTTGCCTTGTGAAGGAGACGTAAAAAGTGTAACTAGATTTTCGCACAAGTTTCGTCAGTTCGCAGCTAGCTAAAAAAGATTCGCAGGTGCTTATAAACAAGATCAGTAACCTTATTTGACTTCAGTCTCTTCTGCTTGACCTCGGTCTGTTCGTTACTATTGGTTGATAACCACGCGACGCGCTTATAACGTGGGAGCAACAGGCTGGGGAAACAACCTCGGGTGCAGCGTTTCCATCCGGTACAAGGCAAATTCGCGTGCACTGGTTGGGCATCAATTGTACATTCACACGGACAGTAGAACGTTTCCCTGAACTGTACAGGAGGTGGAACGGGAATGTCAGCTTCCTTAGCTGTACGTTGACGTAACGCCTTTGACGTTTTGACCAGTTGTTGAAATGCTGACTTCATCGTTTCGGTGGTTCTGTATAGGGGACTATGCTATATTTAATAAGAGCAAACATATACTGTTAGCGAAAAGAATCATACGTGAATCATACTACCAAAATGTCAAGATTGGATGGAGTGCAGAAAAAAAGGTTCGTTTCCGAGAATGGGTGCTATATCTTTTCATGAAGGAAAATGATAAGGGTTGCACTGGATGAAATAAAATTACACGAGTATCCGCATTGTCATTTGCTTTCTTCTCGTTATTCACCCCCTTAGTTTGTACACACCTTGATTGAAAATAAGTCAGATGTAGTCAGGTTGTAAAATAGTTAGCGCACCAGCAGCCACCGAGGTCCGAAATCCGCGACCTCAAAACAAACACTTGATTCGTCCCAAATGCCTTTTCCCGCCCTGACAGAATGCAACCGTGGCAACGCTTCCACCACAGTTCAGGTTAGAACACGTGTACATGACAGAGGTTTAGGATATTCGTCCTCTGAAACCCTTCGCAAGGCTTTACGGATTCCTCAGCGTCCAGTTAAACCTTCCCGACAGCGAAGTTTAGCGAAGCTTTTGTGTCTTCGGCAGGAAGCTAAGCGGTTAACCAGTTTGGTGTGGTCCACTAGTGCCCCAGGCTGGATAGTGTCATGGCGAGTGAATTTTGACCACGTGCCCAAACTTGACGCGTCAGAAATAGCATCCTCCTCTCGGGCGGAATTCCGTGCAGCACAGAATCACGGGAGGCGGAATCAGCATCGATTGTCAGGTCAGTCTTGTTGGAGCACTTCCCGTCGAAGAACCTGCCAACAACCAATCCACACGAACCGTGCCCGAAGGACGGAATCGGCCCTTTCCGTCAATAACGATTCCGTCAATGTCCCGCCGTTTGACGGAATGGTAACCCCAATGCCAATTCTCAAGGCATAATTTCCTTCCACCCCTAAAAAGACTTCCCCCTCGAGTCCTTCCTGACCAGCTTCGTAACGTGACCAGCCGACTATTCGTGTATTTACCTGCACGCGTAACGCGGATTACTAAAGGAGCGATCAGCACGGATTACTCAACCTCTTCCGATCCTAGTTCTCAGTGCTTCCACACCTTAGTTCAGGCAGCGACAATTGTGTCTACGGCTGATCAGTTTCAGGAATCGCAGGACAATCGTCGCGCGTCGCTCGTCACGCGCCTCTCGTCGCTGGTCACTCTTTCGTCCGTTCACCGTCTCCGCGGCCTGGTTGCACTGTCTGCGCGTGGGGACCATGAGCGGCGGAGCAGCCACAGTCCTCCCTGCGGAGAGCACTCCCCGCGTCATTCCAGGTGTGCTTCACAACCACGCCACACCTCACCACACCACACCTTGCCACACCTCCCTACCACGGCATTCCTCTGCCACGCCTCCGTGCCCCTTCTCTCCACGACAAACGCAATTTTCCCTCCAATGCGTCGTCCATTCCGCAATCCGTTCGTGCCGCGTTCCAGTCGTGCGCAAATGCTCGTGGCTTGTCGTGTTCCTTCGTCGTGGCTCATCCTTGAACGAGTTATCTCATTCCCATGTCATCCTAATGTCATTCCAATGTCATCCCAATGTCATCCCAATGTCATTGCAATGTCAACCCTTTATCAGGAGTTGCTGGTGGCCAGAGCAATGGGCCTTCCACCACCCGGTCAGCCGGCAAAGGTAACGTTCCTCCGTCGAAAAAGATGCACATTTCGTTGCCGTCACATTCCTTCGCCATGTCATTCACGTGCCATTTCGACTCCATCCCTCTGTCCGTCCGCCCGTCCACCCCGGTGACCAGCCTGCATCTCTCGGTCACGCAATCCTCCCTTCTCCGACGTGTCAGAGCGTGATTCTGTTTCTAAAGCTTCCCGCAACCCCTTCCCTCCTGCACACCCCCCTCCTCCCCCCCCCCCTCCCCCCCCCCACCCCCGCCCTGCCCCTTTTCTACCCCTCTCTCTCTCCCCGCAGGTCGGCGGAGACGAGCAGCCGCGGAGATGCGGCGCATCGAGCAACAGCGATGGGGCGAGGCCCTAGTAGCACCGGACGATGACGCCAGCAGTGACGTCAGCCCATCCCCCACGGAAGCCGCGAGGGCGTCGCTCATGCAGCAGACGGCCTCCGCGCGCAGGCGGCAGCAGCGCCGCGTCTCCCGGCGGCAGTTGCGGGAGGGGCAGCGCGAAATTGAGGAGTTCTTCGAGCGGGAGGGGGAGCAGGATGGGGAGGAGGAATGGCGGTGGGGGTACGGCGTCAGTAGCAGCAACAGCGGGAGAAGCGGTAGAGGCAGAAGCAGAGGGCAGCAGACGTCGTCGTCTGTGCCCTGGTCGCATTTCGGGGGCTTCGCGGATGGGGATGAGTTAGAGATGGCGCTAGGTGAGCGCGTTAGAAGATACAAATTCTCATTGCTTCTGCCTGTCAGAGTTGTGCAGTCGAGTCTAGAACGCGTTGACAAAAACATGCCTTTCCAGCTTCCGCTTCCGCTTCCTCTTCCGTGTCCCTTCCTCCGTTTTCCCCGTTCTCCACCCCATCGTCCTTTTGTAATTCCTGCTTGGCCTTTCTCTCTCCCTCGTTTGGCGCTGAGCAGCGCTGTCGCTGTCCCTAGTGGATCACCCCATTGCCGCCAGCGACAGCACCGGGTCTCTCTCGGACGCTGCTGCCGCTGCAGCGTCAGGGGACCTTTCCTACGAAGTTCGTTCACTCTCCTCTTACTGCCCCCTCGCCACTCCCCATTCCCCCTTTCCATCCCCTCATTATCCCCCTCCGCCCCCACCCACCACCCCCCTCCCCACTTCCCCTCCATCCTCACTTGTCGCTCTCTTTGCCCCTTGCTGCTATCCGGTGTCCCACTTAACGTCTTGTTAGAAGGCGTTTCGCTCTGTCTACTACCCTCGATCCAATCAAACCCCCACCTCGCTGACTGCTCGCCTCCTCACCAGCATCTCTGACCTCCTCTGCTGCCGTGTACCACTGCATTATCTCTCCCGTTGCCACTCACCTCTTCTGCCGACCTGTGCCGCCCACTTCCCTGCTCGTGCCAGAGCCTGACGGAGCTGGAGAGTGTGCAGTGCGGGCTGTCGGGAGATCAGATTGACCACCTGCCGACCCTTCATGTGGGCACGCAGCATTCGAGCGACTCCTTTTCGGACGAGTGAGCGCACAGCAAACGCTCTCCCCTCCCCCCCCCCCCCCCCCCCCCCCGCCCCCCCTCTTCCCCCCCCTCCTCCCCCCCTTGAAGATTGTTGTTGCAGATTTTATCTCCCTGCCTAATGTGGTACCCAACTATACACGCATGCATCCACTTTTCCATACTTGTATCCTGTGTAGTCATGAATGTCAGTTACTTTCTGAAGGTTTTCCCTTTACATGCTTGTTGTTGCAGATTTTATCTCCCTGCCTAATGTGGTACCCAACTATACACGCATGCATCCACTTTTCCACACTTGTATCCTGTGTAGTCATGAATGTCAGTTACTTTCTGAAGGTTTTCCCTTTACATGCAGCATGAAACTCCTTACAATAAGAGGTTTATCTGATGTGAGAACCTAATGTATGCTGTCCCCGCTTTACTTCGTTTCCCCTGGTGGTGAGCGCAGGCTGTGCAGCATATGCCAGGGAGAGTATGTGGAGGGAGATGCCTTGCTGGTACTGCCTTGTCAGCACCGATTTCACCGACCATGTGCAACCGAGTGGCTATCGCAGTACTCTAAGCTCTGCCCTGTCTGCAAGGCTGAGGCTTGTCACACAGCAGGGTGTTCCGGAAGTGAGGAAGAAAATTAGTGTTATGAAATTGTGTAGGGTCGAGCCGAGGATCGTGTACGTAAGAGCAAGAGTGAATGATTAGGAAGGAGAGGAAGGGTGCCTTGCTGTGATATGGGTAGGTGATGGATTGAAGATAGCTTGGATAGCGGTGTGTGCGGGTGGCTGGTTGGCTGGGTTTGGTTGGATGCATGTGCTGTTGTCACCTTTTTTATGTACTGATTGAATAAAATGTTTAGCTACTGTGAATAATGTAATGTATTTATGTGGGCTGATCAAGATGCGAGTGGGGTGCAAGTGGCCGAGATCCAATACGATTCTCGAGAAGATTCGACCACCTTTGGAGGAACAAGGGAAACACCCAAGAATTTTTGCGGTCAAGAAATGCCGCCAACGTTTTAGGGCGTGTCTAGTTTGCTTTTAAATGTCCGAGTAGTTTTCCTAGGTTTTATAAACACTTCAAACAGCGTCGTGCTCCATTCCATCTAGAATGGAGGAAGTGGCTGTGATGACGTTTTGGAAGTAGCCATTACCAAACCTTGAGATCTAGACGGGCAGGAAACATATTCGGTTTCGGTCACGGCGGAAGATCTTGCACCCGCCATATCATCGCATCCATTGTCGGATTGAGACGAGTTGGCCCCCTGGGGACCAGTCGAAACTCAGCAATACTGTCTCAACAGAGACGACGATATCAAGAATCCAGGGTTTGGATACGTCAGATTACAAATCCTCCGTGCAATTGAGAGAACCCTGTGGCTCCGCACAGAGGCTGCTCCTTTCCCTTCCCTTCCACCCAACCCTGCCCCCCCAGCCGCTACCCCACCCATCCACCCTCCACGCATGACTAGCCTTCCACGTCCAGTCTCGGATGTGAAACTTTTCGTCCACCATCAGCCGCACCAAACGAAACGTTTGGGTTTCCCCTTTAATCCGCTCCCTCTTTTTTCTAAACGTTTAGAAAACGAGTCGTGGTTCCGTAGTAATATTATTATTTCAAATAATGACTTTGTAGTAGTTCGTAACGGGCTGAGTTATGACTTTTTATATTTTTCATGCCGTACTCGTAGACAGGAAAAACCAGCAGATTCCACCGTGATATGGAAGAGGGAGGAGTTGTGGGGGATGAGGGAGCCTGAAGTGGAGTTCCTGGTCCTTCCAGAACTGGACTACGTGTGAAAATTGTCATTCAACTGCCCCCATTCATCAGCTTGGCTAAGCGCGAATTATGTACACGGGCGTGAACATGAAAGATCGCCCTTTTGCACCCCCAAAGATCCTTAAGAGACCTTCAAGGCAGAACAAAGGAAACTTAAGGATCATTCTTAGTCGGCGACATTCTCAGGGGTGATTCCGCCTACACCGTTTCGTGCGATCAATCCTTCAACGCGAGCCCCCTTTCTCTTGCCCCACCGTCTCTGTTGCCCCCCATTTCCCGTTGCTTCGGTTTCAAGCTTCCACTACAGATTGCGCTAGGGTTTCTTTGTCCATTCGGTTGTGGGATAATTCAGTGAGGTGTTCTCTAGGTTCATATTCAGTAAACAAACAAACGGCTTTGTTCTGTGCGACGCGGTTCATGACGTAACGCTGGCTTAACCGTGTTTCACCATATGAAAATCCACTCAACCGCATTGGCGGATCAGCAGACCACCATTTGCGAACGCTGCAAAAGCTCGGACTTCGGTGTTATCCTTTTCCTTCACCCTCCATCAGCCATTGCCTTCGACAAGTACAGTAACTTGTTCGCTTCAGATAGTTGAACTTGCGTTGTCCGCCACAAATCGCTAGTTGACTCGAGGAGGAAGAGGGGATTATATATTCTGGCTTTTGGAAAAGTTAGGTCGAGAGACGCAGTAGTTGTCGACATTGTGCGACGAAATGTCATCTGCTGCAAAACGTTTTTCCTTTCTTGGCGTAATGCCCGACAATTATTGATATTCAAGCTTCGTCCTAGCGTCGCCTTCTGTTCTTCCCACTATTGAAATTGTCATAACATTACCGACTTCCTAATAACCGGTTCTCGTTTTTCGTTACACCCCGCCAACCATGTATAACTCGCTAATAGAGCACGATTTAGGAATCGGCGAGGAGGATACGTCGCCGGACCTTGACTCGCAACTACCTCTGGTTCGCAACCTGTCGAGCTCCACCAACAACAACACCATCAACAACAACAACACCGGCAACAACAACAATAACAACAATAAGAACAACAATGACAATAACAACGACAACAGCGGAGTCTCGTTCCCGGCCGGAATGCGAGTGCTCGCTGTCGACGACGACCCGCTCTGTCTCATGATTCTCGAGCGAATGCTGCGACAATGCTCTTACTCAGGTATCAGCCTTCTTCGATAACAGAAGAAGAAGAAGAAAAAAACTTGTTTTCGTCTGTGTTGTCAGTTTCATGTTTGTGTGATTTCGTTTTTCTCTCTCTCGTTCTCTGTCTCAGCCTCTCTCCTCTTCTCCCCTCCCGTCTTCCCCCTCTCTCCCCCCCCCCCCCCCCCCCCCCCCCCCCCCCCCGCCCGCGTCCCGCTTCCTCCCCCCTTTCTCCCCCGCCCTGTCCCCTTCCAGTGACGACATGCAGCCGCGCAGCGACGGCGCTATCTCTGCTCCGGGAGAACCGCGACCGGTTCGACCTGGTGATAAGCGACGTGTACATGCCCGACATGGACGGCTTTAAGTTGCTCGAACTCATCGGCCTCGAACTCGACCTCCCCGTTATCAGTGCGTTCACCCGCTGGCAGCAGACGCTGTTTCCGCTGTTTCCGCTGGTACCTCTGTAACCTCATCGTGGCTATCCCTCAGTCATTGCATTGCGTCCTCTCCCGTTTCGTACCCAGTTTGATTCTGGATTGATTGGTTTGGAGTGCGAGTTGCCTTCCTCGCGTTCGTATTCCGTGCTCTCCTCTGCCCTCCTGACTTGCGTTTGAACCCTTCGCTACTCTCCCATGTTCTCGTCATTCGCTTCTGCCAACTCTTTGGTTCCGTTCCCCCTTCGCTCTTCTCCGTCCCACTTCCGTCCCACTTCGCTCTGGTTTCATCCTCTTCCTTTCTCGCCTGCCCACCTCCCCTGTTATACCCTACCTTCTCCCTCCTCTCCCTCTTTCCATTCTTCCATCCCGCGCAAAGGTCCTCCCTAGTATCCATATCTTAATCTCTGTTCGCTATAGAGACAGCAGCGATAGCGGGAGTTCGAGGCATTTTGTTGAGTCGGCTTCCAACAAAGGGTTCCGGCGGTGATTTCTAACACTCCCGTTTCTCCTATTCTCATATCCTCTCTTCCCTGCCTCCCGTTCCCTTCACCCCTCTGCCCCTTCCTCGCTTCCTCCCCCTCTGATCTCCTCCTCCCCCTTCCCGTCCTCCTCCCCCTTCCCGCCCTCCTTCCCCTTCCCGCCCTCCTCCCCGTTCCCGCCCTCCTCCGTTCCTGTACCAGTGATGAGCGCTAACGGCGAGACGAGCGCGGTGATGAAGGGCATAACGCACGGCGCGTGCGACTACCTCTTAAAGCCCGTGCGCATCGAGGAGCTGCGCAACATCTGGCAGCACGTCGTGCGCAAGCGCACCACTCCGCGCGACGCCGGCGCAAGGGACGCGGACGCCGCCGGCGAGTGGGACGAGGTCAAACCCGGCACGTCCGCGGCTGCTGGGGGGGACGCTGGCGGCGGCGGCGGCGGCGGCGGCGGCGGTGGTGGCGGGCGGGGCGGGATAAACGACGGGGGTTTCGTGGAGGGGATGGGGGGCGGAGGCGGAGGGGGAGGGGGGAGGGGAGAGGGAGGCGGGGAGGGCGGGGATAGTGACGGGGAGGTGGGGGGTAAGCGCAAGAAGGATGATGCAGTGGAGGATGCGATGATGCTGAAGAAGGCGCGTGTGGTGTGGTCCATCGAGCTGCACCAGCAGTTCGTTAATGCTGTCAACCGACTTGGAGTGGACAGTAAGTGCTGCCTGCTGCGTGCAGTGAGTGTTTCCCTCTGCCTGTTTCCTGCTTAATGACGCTAAAGAAGACGCGCATAGTGTGGTGTGGTGTGGTCCCTCCCAGAATCTTTATCCGTTTTTTTTTGTTTTTTTTTTAAGTCGACCTTAGCTCGTTTATTCTGTTAAGAGTCCTTTGCGATTGAACGTATAATGAGTACAGCGGAATGCAAGTAAGTGGAAATGAGGGGACTACAGTGTTTCATGCAACTCAAATGTCCGAAGGACGATATCATATATCTTTCCAACCTCCACCTCTTTCACCTCTCCCACCTCTCCCTCCTCCTCATTATCACATCTTTATCCGTTTTTCTTTTCCCTGTCTTTCTCTTTCCCGTCTCCCTCTTCATTTCTTTGTCCTGTATCCCTGGCCCATCAGAGGCGGTACCGAAGCGGATATTGGAGATTATGAACGTGCAGGGACTTACTCGGGAGAATGTGGCCTCGCATCTGCAGGTCAGTGCTCCTGCTCCTGCCCATGTTCCTGCACCCGCTCCCCTTCCTCCTCCTCCTCCTCCTCCTCCTCCTCCTCCTCCTCCTCCTCCTCCTCCTCCTCCTCCTCCTCCTCCTCCTCCTCCTCCTCCTCCTCCTCCTCCCCCCCTCTTTTTTTTGCCCTCTTCCCGGGTCCTCCCCTCCAATCCAAAGCTCTATTGCTTTAACCAGCTGACGTTCGTAATCCAGGCCTCACTCACAACAACCCGTGTGCCTTTCTCCCTTCCTCTCTCCCTCCCTCCCTCCCTCCATCCCTCCCTCCCTCCCTCCCTCCCTCCCTCCCTCCCTCCCTCCCTCCCTCCCTCCCTCCCTCCCTCCCTCCCTCCCTCCCTCCCTCCCTCCCTCCCTCCCTCTCCCCGTCCACCCCCCCACCTGCTCCCCATCCTCCCATCTACAGAAATACCGCCTGTACCTGAAGCGGCTAAGCGGGGTGAACCCACAGCCGCACCCAGTGGCGTCATTCCAAGCCACAGAAGGCAGTGCGTTCGGGGGAACACTGCACGTGCAGCTACCCGGCTCACGCTCCTCCAAAACCCCTTCCATGAGCCTCTCTGATGCGGTTGCTGCTGCTGCCGCGGCTGCTGGTGCTGGGGGCGGGCTGGGCGGCGCTGGTGGGATTGGGGGTCGAGGAGGAGGGGGAGGGGGAGGTGGTGGTGGTGGCGGTAGTGGGGGTCTTTTTGCAGGGCTTGGCGGGTTGGGTGGTCTAGGCGGGGGGGATGGTGGTGGTGGTGGTGGTGGTGGAGGAGGTGGTGGGGGTGCTGCTGCTGCGGCTGCTGCAGCGGCGGCAGCAGCAGCGATGGTCGCTGGTGGGGGTTTGGACGCGTCCACTCTAGCTACAATCGCACAGATTCAAGCCATTCAGCAACAACAGCAGCAGCAGCAGCAGCAGCAACAGCAACGGAGGCAGGCAGGCGCGACAGGTGCCAGCTCCCCATTGGCCCATCTGGCTGCTGGAGGAGGGGGAGGGGGCGGGTTCGGGAACGCCGCCACAGCAGCAGCCATGGCAGCAGGGTTGTTGGGGCCTGCAGCGTCGGGGATAGGAGCAGGCCACGAGTACGGATCAGCAGCAGGGGAAGGCGGTGGTGGTGGTGGTGGTGGTGGCGGTGCTGCTGGTGCGGGTGCGGGTGGCATGGCCGGGATAGCCCAAGCTCTGGGTCTTCAGAATCTGTCTCCGTATGAGCTGAACCTGTTACTGCAAGCTCAGCAGGAAAGCATGGTGCGACAGAGGGGAGGAGGGGGAGGAGCAGGGGGGGGAGGCAGAGGAGGAGGGGGAGGGGGTGGGGCGGCTGGGCTTGGCGGTATGGACTCGTATTTGCAGGCTTTAGCAGGGCAGGTGGGATTGATGGGTGGTGCTGGTGGTGGAGGAGGTGGGGGGAGGGGGAGGGGGGAGGGGGAGGGGGGAGGGGGAGGGGGAGGCTCTGCTGCTTCGCCAACACACGCTGGGCTTGCAGGTCTTGCTGGTATAGCAGGACTGGGCTCAGCGGGTCTAGCAGGGGGAGGAGGCTTGGGAGGGCTTTTAGAAATGGCTACAGGGGGTGGGGGAGGAATGGAGAATGGCGGAGGAGGAGGGGGAGCAGGTCTGCAGGAATATGCAGCTCTTAGGGCTACTATGGCCGCGTCGGGATTCAATATGGGCGGACAAAATAACGCGGCAGCTTTAATGAATTTGGGGATCTCGCGGGGGGTTGGAGGAGCAGCAGCAGGGGGAGCGGGAGGAATAAACAGCGGCCTTTTGGATCCGTCATTCAGCTCACTAGCAGGTGGGGGGGGAGGAGGTAGAGGAGGTGCAGGAGGTGCAGGAGGTGGAGTAGGAAGGGGTGGGCTGAATGACCCTAGTCTCTACTTGGCATCAGAGCTTACAGAGGCTGGGGCAGGAGGGAGGTCTGTGAGGGACGAGTATGGGTTGGTGGCGCGGGGGTTGGCGTCGCAAGGGGTGGATAATGAACTGTTGTTGTTGCATCAGCTTATGGGGCAACAACAGGGAGGGAGGAATGGGGGAATAACGCACTAGGCACGAGCTGGGAGGTGCTTGGTTGCACACAGGTGTGCTTCATTCAATGCTTCCAATGTAGGTATGATTCACCTGGTTTGGAAGGGAATGGTATGAGCACAGGGGATGGTCTGCATGTCATGGTATGTGAGGTTATGGCATGCTTAGATGCTTCAAATCGGTGAGAGGGGTCTGCATGACGAACTTTTTTATTGGTTCTCTTGACATTGCTCCTCCAACCTATTCAAAGTTGAGGTGCTTACTAGTGTGCAGTAGTGTATATCTTGTTTAGGCATTTACTTGCATGCCATAACTGACATCACAAAGCTCTCACAGAGGCACCTCGGCCTGATAATTTTGTGATAACGTACACTTCCGGATCGTTAACAGTCCGTTCTACATCGGCACAATCTAGGCCTACACCTCGCCTCGTCATGCGTTCCTTGTGTTTGCCTCAGTGCTTGTCAAGCTGCTCCATGGCCACGGGTTTCGCTGCTGTGCTTTTACGTACCACGGATATTTGGCGAGGCCGAGGTGATGAAAATTGGCAAGGCCAGCAGCAACCTTCTGGCCAATTGGAACTGGAAACGGCCAAGTGTCGTGTCGCGTCCTTCTGTGTCCAAACTGCGCCATGACGAGGTTCGGTTGGGTGCACTTTGGGGCAGGATGGTTTCGGTCGGTTCGGAACAACTTTGGAACCGCGTTCATTCAATCACCACCACTTGGAATGCATACAACGCGCAGAGTCTGGGAGAAATGGGAAATGATGCTCGTCCACTCTATTACTGCGTTCCTTGAGTGGTGATAGTGATAGTCTCCGCGTCACTTCCCATGGTCGTCATCCGCTTGACGACCGGAATCTCACAGTAGGCTCAGTTCGAGCAGTCCGACAGTGTCTTGGTGACTGAACCGAATCGGTTAAGACCGTAGATGACGTGTGTATTGAGCGGACCCATGTCGGGTCTTAGAGGCCAACCGCTAGCCGCGCAAGGAATGATAAGCGAGTGCTACCGGCGATGGCGATGGAGTGGATGCGTCCTCTTTCATTCGCCATCTGCTCCATTGACGCGTCGAAAGAAGCGCGGAAATCGAAGGCCTCTGAAGAGGTTCGAGAAAATGCGTGATGGTAACGCGATTGACGATATAACCGGCGAATGTCCATTTTCGGTGGGGTACGTTACGATACGTTGTGTCGATTCGTCCATAGTACGAGAAGTGCTGACTTCTAAGTCGACTCAGAAGCTGCTCTGCCCGCAGCGCGCATCGTGCGATTCGAATGGAGCTTGATGATCCAACAATCACAGCCTGACACGTCAGCTGATCACCCGGATCGATCGCTCAGCTGATGCCAATTATCGAAGAAGCGTCGTCGAATAGAATTGTACGATTGTCAGCAGTGAAGCTAATCAGGGTCAGGGTCAGGCCAGCCGGTGGCTACGTAGCGGTTACGTCGTCGGAACGAAGCATTACCCACCCCTTCCAGTCTCAGCCTATACCTCCCTGTCACCTGCACACTCTCCCATCTGTTCTGCCTGTTTCCACGAAACCCGCAGTTTGACGCTCATACGACCCGCGTAATGGCCTATGAAGCAGCGACCGCCATTCGAAGCTCGAGTTAGCCTTTCCTTAAATAGCGAAGCTTGGGCTTCTGAGCCGCGTGACGCTCTGGCTGTTCGACCGTCGAACTTGCGGAGTGACTCGGTGTGCTGGCCCGCCCTCTCTTGCGGAGTGACCCTAGATTGCTTACCGTTCGCTCCGCTTGGCTCTTCCGTGCTTTGCTCCTCCGCTCTTGCCTCGTCTCTCGTGCTCGTCGCGCAGTCGGCGCATCTCGGTCGCTCATCCATCACGCGCACACGCTTTTTCGGAGCCTTCTCAAAGCTCTCAAGGTCTCAAAGCTCTCGTCAAGTGGCGCACCCACGACTTCGAATCCTTTGACCACGCGGGGAGACCAGGCGCCCTGTCGCCGTTGAGGCTTGGGAATTCTAATTCACGGCGGGGCTTTAACTGGCGGCTGCACGGCGGGGAACGAGACTCTGAGACCCGCAGCGGCGACGCCGCCACCACCAACACCGCCGCCACCGCCGCCGCCGCCGAGAACGACGACGCTGACGACGCCAGCACCGTCGACGCCGGCGAGAGACTCTTTCGGATATGATGGAATTCGGGCACATCTGGAGTGCAAATGGATGGGGTGTAGTGGCGTGATCAGCGTCGCACAGCCAGTGGTGGTAGCGGCTTTTCCAAGCAACTTCTATCGACTCATATGAATCCCGAAATCCAAACCCTGAGCATGGATTTCCCTGTAGCGCCAACGGCGCAACCCGGGCGGCAAGCGTCCACCAATGGCGTCGTGCCACGTGTGTGCCACGTCAGCCTGGAGTATTCCATTCCAGGGGTGAATTACTCTGCGTCAGTGGGCGGGCTGTTTAAAGTGGTGGATCTTTTTATCCGCAAATTCCCCTTTCCCCTCTCCTTGATCGTTCCGCGCCTGGCGGATTTCCCGCTGCCGAGCCTCCCCCCAGCCGAGCCTGCGAAGCAAGGTTGGGTGACGGTGCTGGGAGCGTGGGTGCCTGTGCACGTGCACGTGCTGCGTGACGTGTCGCCATGTGGCGCGCCGCGCACGTTCTACCTGCTGACGTGTCGGGTGTTTTCTAAGAAGACGGCGAAGGATCTGTACGAGTGAGTATTGGATGGAACTGGGAGTAGGGAGAAGGGGAGGGAGTGGGGGGGGGGGTGGAGGAGGTTGGAGGGGAAGGAAGAGGAAAGGGGAGAAGTAGTTGTTGGCTTGCACTTGTGAGGGAGTCTCCCTTTCACTTGTGGTTGGGTTTCCCTTTCACTTGGGTTTGCAACTGTATTGATTAGGAGACTCTTCCAGTCCTCGCCCCTGCCCTCTTTCCCACCATCCCTCCCCTGCCCTCTACTCCCCTCAACCACACACAGCTCTCTCCCCCTCGCTCCTGCTCTATCCCCTCTTCTACCACCTCCATTTTCTAGGCGTCTCACAACTTATCCCCTCCTTTCCCCCTTGCATCGCAACTCTCCCCCCACTCTTCCCATCGCTTCCGCTCCCTCTCGATCTCCCCCACTCCTCCCCTCCTCCCCCCTCCCCCACTCTCGCGCCTCCCCCCCCCCCAGGTGCGCCAGTGCCAGCGCGGAGATGGTGCTGTATTCCGCCTGGAGCCAGGCAGTGGCGCATGCTGCTCACGTCATTGCGCCCCACGCTGACGTCATACACCTGCATGACTACCACGGTGAGGGGAAGGGGAATGCAGAGGGGGAGGGGGGAGGGGAGGGGGAGGGGGAGGGGGAGTAAGAGGGGAGAGGAATGGGGAGGGGGAGGGGTAGGTAGGGGGATGGGAAGGGGAAGGGGATGAGGGGGGGTGGTTGTGTTAGGTTGGGCCATGGTTTGAGCCCTGGGAGGAGGAGTGGTTGGGCGAGTATGGTGGGAGGGGATTGGGGTGTCGTTGTCGCGTGGTTGATGGGAAGCGTGGTAGACGGGGAAAGAGTGGGAGGGATGTGGTGGTGCTTTGGGGCGGTCATACAGACTCTTAGCTTGCTTACCTTGGTTCTAACTTCGAAGCAATAGGCTATGAATTTTGATCAATACCTGGTTTCTCTCTTCTGTTTTTTACAGAATTAATGGTCGTTAATCGGCTCTACATCACTTTTGAGGCGCCTCAAAAGCTCTACATCACAGTCTGTAACAGAATGCTGTAGTCTTTACCCCCTCCAGCACTCACCTACTAACTCTCACGCTCTCCTCTCACTCACTTCCATCTCTTTCACTTTCCACTACCCCACCTACCCACCCACCTCCCCTTCGTCCTCAGCCTCCTTAGCCCCACTCTACATGATGCGAAGGGGCTGGAACCAGCTGCAACAACCCCACCAGCAGCAGCAGCAGCAGCAGCAACAGCAGCAGCAGCCGGAGCAGGAAGGGGGGGGAGAGGAGATGCCGTTTCCTGCCTTTTGCATCACTCTGCACAACGGTGACTTTCAGGTGTGTTACTGTGAGATGGTATGCGTGACGGTGACGCTACACTCTGCTACGCTACGCACGTGACACACTCTTTGTGATGCACTTGGGATACTAGGTGACTTTTGAGTCGACTCAAAACATCTCTGTTTACTTGTGTTGTGATGCACTTGAAATACTTTATTCCTTGTGTGCACACGGTACGCCTTTCCATCGGCGTCCTCGCACCACTCTTCACCGCTCCCTATCTTCTCCCACTCCGTCCCCTCATCCTTCCAGTCCACCTACTTCTCCTCTCCTCTCCTTCCCCTCTCCTCCTGTCCTCCTCCCCTCCTCCCCACCTCCTCCTCTCCTCCTCCTCTCCCTTACTCGTAACATCCCACTTGCCGCCCTGTCCTCCCGACGAAACCCCACCCGCCACCCTAGGGCGCATGGCGAATTCGCAGTGCCGCCCACCAGGAGTGGGTTCTGTCCACATTCAATGTATCTGCATTCGAGTTCCGCACCTACTGCTGCCACAGCAACACATTCAACATGCTGCATGCCGCCCTGACCATCCTCCAAGCCTGCCAGGCAGGCTCGGGGCTGGTAACCGTATCGGAACACTACGCAGAGAGGCTGAAACGAAAGCTGAGCCTCTTTTGGGGGGTGGAGCGGATTGTGAGTATAATGAATGGGGTGGATGAGGAGGAGAATCCGGGGTGGGGGTTGATGGAGATAGCAGGGAGGAAGAGGGAGGCAAAGAGAAGTGTTATGGAAGCGTATGGGTTAGGGGTGAAGGGAGTGGAAGGAGGTGAGAGAGGGTGGGCGGGAGGGAGAGGAGGGGGAGTGGGAAGGATAGAAGAGGGTGAGGGAGGAGGAGGAGAGGCGGTGGTGGTGCAGGTGGAGGGAGGAACGTTATCAGGTGCTGGTGGTGATGATACAGGCAGCAGCAGCACATGCAGCAATAGCAGCAGCAGCAGCGATGGCATCAGCAGAAGCAGCAGAGTTAGCAGCACCAACGTTACCAACAGCAGCAGCGGCACTAGCAGCAGCACCACCACCACTACCAGCAGCAGCAGCTGGGAGAAATGGAAGGGTGCAGGGAAGCACAGCAGTGAACATGATTTTACAGACTCTGCTCCAGAGGCAGACTGCTGTTACCCTGCTGTTACCACCGCCGCTGCTGATAGCACCACTACTGCTGATAGTACGGGTTTAAACACACACCATGTGCCACCTTCTAGATTTAACATGCATGGAGCGGGCGGCACCGGTGCAGAGGCGGACAGCGGCAGTCGTCTGTTTGTGTTCCTGGGGCGGCAGAGCTACCAGAAGGGCAGTGACCTGATAGCGGCGGTGGCTGCACGCGTGTTGAGGGAGCATCCTACGGCGAGCCTGGTGGTGCTGGGTCCCTGCACTGACTCACACGGACGACTGGCTGTGCAGGTAAAGTGGTGCATTGCTGGCTGGTTCGTGGTTTGAGACGTCTCAAAATAGGGCGTGCCTGGTGGTCATGGGTCCTTGCATATATATGCACGGATGACTGGCTGGGCAAGGTACGGTGCATGGTTGATTGATTCGTCTGTTTGTTTGTTTGTTGGCTGGTTTCTTGCTTGTGCTTCACCTGGCTGCTTCTGCCTATCCCAACTGTCTACACGTCTCCAACACAATCCTGACGGTACAGGGGTGAGCAGCGCTCAGGGCACCACAGCAGACCTTGCAACTTCCTGCCATCAGTCGCTCAACCTGTCCCAAGCCCACTTTACCGCAACCAACCACTGTGCTCCTTTTTTTGCCCCCGAGCAGAATCTCTCCCGCCTGGCAGCTTCAGCCTACCCTAACCGTCTATACACGTCCGAACGCAGTGGCAACAGTGCAGGAGCGGCGGACGTGTGCACACGCCCCACTCCACCTCAACCCTGCTGTTCCTCTCCCGTCCCCGGAGCAGCATAGCATCCATCCCGCCTGGCAGCCTCGGCCGGCCTATCCCAACCATCTATACGCCTCCAATGCAGTGGTGACAGCACAGGAGCGGGCAGAACTGATGGCAGCACAGCACTGATTTAGTGCTGCTGCCCTCCCCTCTGTGCTCTCTCATCTTCCCCCCAAGCAGATCCTCTCCCGCCTGGCCGCCACAGCCTACCCCAACCGTCTATACGCGTCTAATACAGTGGTGACAGCGCGGGAGCGGGCAGCACTGATGGCAGGAGCGGACTTTGTGCTGCTGCCCAGCCGCTTCGAGCCCTGCGGGTTGACAGACGTGGAGTTTGCTTGGAAGGGCGCGCTCGGGTGCGGCTTTCAAGTGGTGCGTGGGTGGATGATGGGGATGCATTTGCGGTTGCATGGGTGTGTCGGGTGTGGGCACGGGAGAGCTGTGGTTTAGGGGGCATGCGGGGGTAAATGGACCAATCAGATGCAGCGAAAAAAACTCTCATCAGTACAAGACTGCTGGGGGTGTTTGGGGGAAGAATTCTGCTGATGGGATGCTGATGGGATGCTGATGGGATGCTGATGGGACCAAGTCAACTTTCTGGGTTGATGGGATGCTGCTCAGGTACTCTTTTTTTTTTGTACGAACAAGAGGGGGGATCTGTAAAGACCCCAGCTGGCTTTTTCTGGTTGACTAAAAAGGTATGGCTGGTGGCAAACCACAGCACACAGGAACCACAGAAGGTACGGTTGAAGGATATCAATCTACTGTCTCCTGTGTGCTGTGCTATGCCGTGCCGCACCGTCCCGTGCCATGCGGTGCCTGGTGCCCTACCCTGTGCCCTGTCCTCCTGCCCTGTGGTGCTGTGCTGTGCCGTGCTGTCTTGCAGGGTGGGCTGGGCAAGACCCCGGGGTTCTACCAGCCGCTCCAGTCGTCGTGCCACGAGCACCAGCAGCAGCAGCTTCTTCTTTTGAGGCGCCTCAAACATCGTTTTTCTGTGCTGTGCCGTGCCGTGCCGTGCTGTCTTGCAGGGTGGGCTGGGCAAGACTCCAGGGTTCTACCAGCCGCTCCAGTCGTCGTGCCACGAGCACCAGCAGCAGCAGCTTCTTCTTTTGAGGCGCCTCAAACATCGTTTTGCTGTGCTGTGCCGTGCCGTGCCGTGCTGTCTTGCAGGGTGGGCTGGGCAAGACTCCAGGGTTCTACCAGCCGCTCCAGTCGTCGTGCCACGAGCACCAGCAGCAGCAGCTGCTTGCTGCGATCAATGCTGCCATGGCCGCCCCCCCGCTCCTGCTCTCCCTCATGCAGGCGCATGCCACGCTGCTGCGCTTTTCGCCGCAGGTAGGTACTGGGGAAGTGCGGGAGGGGTTGAGAAGTGTGGGGGGGTTATGAGGGGAGGGAGGAGGGTGGGAGGGTAGGGAAGGGGGTGGGAGAGAAGGGAGGGGGGTGGGAGGGAAGAGGTGGGGTAAGAAGGCACAGACAGACGCACGCAGACACATAGAGCACTGCAGTCGTCCTGCCACGAGCACCAGCAGCAGCAGCTGCTTGCTGCGATCAATGCTGCCATGGCCGCCCCCCCGCTCCTGCTCTCGCTCATGCAGGCGCATGCCACGCTGCTGCGCTTCTCGCCGCAGGTAAGCGGACGCATTCGGGGGGAGGAGGGAAGGGGTGTGAGGGAGGGGATGGGGGGTGGAAGAGGGGGTTGGGGTAAGAAGGCACACAGGCACATGCAGGCAAATGCCACGCAGCTGTGCTTCTCACCCCAGGTACTGGGGGAGGAGGGAAGGGAGGAAGGGTGGAAGACGGAAGCGGATTGGTTCACATGCATGGATCCACATGCATGGATCCACATGCATGGATCCACATGCATGGATCCACTCCACATGCATGGATCCACTCCACATGCATGGATCCACATGCAACTTCCTCCCTCTTCTCTTCTTCTTCCCTTCACCCACCCCTTAGTCCTTCCCTTCTCGCCCTGTGTCCTTCCTGCCCAGCACATGTTCTCCCAGTACCTTCAGTGCTACATGGACGCCATTCAAGCCTCTTCCTCCTCCTCCTCCTTCTCCTGCTCCTCCTCCTCCTCCGCCTCCTACCCCACCTTCCTCCCTTTCTCCCCAAGCACCTCGCTGTTCCAAGCCTGCTGCTGCCTCCCATCCCCCCCTTCGTCCTTGCTCCCACACCAGTCCATCCTCCCTTCAAGCCTCCCTTCTAACCTCCATCTAAACCTCCCTCCAAACCTCCCTCCAAACGTCCCTTCAACTGCGAACGCCCCCCTCGCATGCACATTCCTCGGCCCACCACTGCCCTCTTCCCTGTCCCCTCTCCTTCCCCCCTCCCATCCTCCCCTCGCCCTCTGCCCCATCGACCTCCTCTCCTCACTCTCCCACTCCACCAAGGCTCTCTTTAAGAAGCTTCTCTGGTCTTTCCTCCTCGCTGTTGCGTCGTGGGGGAGGGTCTGTGGATTCAGGCAGCGGCACGGGTGTGCAGGGGGCGGGCAGCGGCTGCGAAAGCATGGGCGTGGCGGAGTGGGCGGAGGGGTGGTTTCGTTTCCGTACCGCTGCAGCAGAACGAGATGCAGCAGCAGCAGCAGCAGCAGCGGCGGCGGCGGCGGCGGCGGCGGCGGCGGCGGCGGCGGCGGCAGCAGCAGCAGCAGCAGCAGCAGCGGCAGCACCGGCTGCAGCAGCAGCAACAACTCGGAGAGGCAGCAGTTCTCTTCCAGAGACCCTGCTAGTTTCTGCTTGCCTGCCCCCCCTTCACGTGTGTCAATGCATCCCCCCATGCCCAAGCGCGCTCCCCATCCCCCTCCTTCACCCCCTTCCCTCTCCTCCCTTTCCTATGCTTCTTCCGTCTCTTTCTCCTCTCCTTCCTCCTCCTCTTCCTCCTCCCCCTCTTCCTCCTCTCCCTCTTCCTTTTCCCCCTCTTCCTTGTCCCCCTCTCCCTCTTCTCCATCTTCTTCCTCCCCCTCTTCCTCCTCCCCCTCTTCCTCCTCCCCCTCCTCCTCCTCCCCCTTCTCCTGTACGCCTTCATGCCCTTCCTCGTCCCCAATCCCTACACCCTCTTCCTTCCCCCTTCCTCCTCCCACCTCCCATCATCAATACCTTCCCTCTCTCCTCCACCGCCTCTACTCCTCTCTCCCTTCTCTCCCCTCTCTTCCCTCCTTCCTCACTCGCTCACAGAACCACTTCTTTCTCCTGCCAGCTCAACCCTCTCACTCTTCCTCCTCCTCCTCCTCCTCATCCTCCCTGCAACCACCTTCTGGACAATCGCATTCGATACAATCACCTTCGGTGCCAGCACCTTGTGGCATCCCTCACGTTTCAGTCGCACTGGAGTTCCCAGGGGAGCGAAGAGATGGGGACGAGTCTTGGTGGGATGGAGAGGAGGAGGAGGAGGAGGAGGAGGAGGAGGAGGAGGAGGAGGAGGAGGAGGAGGAGGAGGAGGAGGAGGAGGAGGAGGAGGAGGAGGAGGAGGAGGAGGAGGAGGGAGAGGGAGAAGAACAGGAGGAAGAGGAGGAGGAGGAAGAGGAGGAGACAGGCGACTGTGACTACCAGGAGTGTACCTTTGAGGCATTGCTTAGGGAGGATGGGGAGGATGGGTGTTGCTACGAGGAAAGCACGCCTCACATGATGACAAGTGTGGCAGAAAAATCCACCGGTGCTGGTACTCCCGGCAGTAGCAGCACCAGCATGGGCTTTGAAACGTCGCACATGTCTGGCTGTAGCAGCACCAGCATGGGCTTTGAAACGTCGCACATGTCTGGCTGTAGCAGCACCAGCATGGGCTTTGAAACGTCGCACATGTCTGGCTGTAGCAGCACCAGCATGGGCTTTGAAACGTCGCACATGTCTGGCTGTAGCAGCACCAGCATGGGCTTTGAAACGTCGCACATGTCTGGCTGTAGCAGCACCAGCATGGGCTTTGAAACGTCGCACATGTCTGGCTGTAGCAGCACCAGCACTGCCGGTACAGGATCCGTGCTTGATGCTGATTGCGCTGAGTGCGCTGAGTGCGTTCAAGGGGTTGTTGAAGGAGTAGGGGATGAAGAGGAGGCACTTCTCCGCTGTACGGATGAAGAGGAGGCACTTCTCCGCTGTACGGATGAAGAGGAGGCACTTCTCCGCTGTACGGATGAAGAGGAGGCACTTCTCCGCTGTACGGATGAAGAGGAGGCACTTCTCCGCTGTACGGATGAAGAGGAGGCACTTCTCCGCTGTACGGATGAAGAGGAGGCACTTCTCCGCTGTACGGATGAAGAGGAGGCACTTCTCCGCTGTACGGATGAAGAGGAGGCACTTCTCCGCTGTACGGATGAAGAGGAGGCACTTCTCCGCTGTACGGATGAAGAGGAGGCACTTCTCCGCTGTACTGGTGGCGCTGATGGTGCTTCTGTTGGGGATTTCCGTTCTCGCTGTAACAGCAGCAGCACTGGCAGGGGAAATGTGCTTGATTGTGAGTGC